TGCGTGCTTTTGTGCACCACCCGCCTGTGTGGGTGATTTCGTTGTGTCATGCAATGGCACACGCCTTCCACTCCATGTGTTCAAGACCTCGTGCTGAACAACGTCTTATTCGCTGACGCTTGTGCTCGCATTCTTTCGTTCGCTCACGTGCATGTTTCCTCGCGTGCCTGGCTCCTCGTTTGTAGGGACTGTGCCAATCTCCGGGAGTGCACTGACACCCAATATGAGACGCTCGCCCCAACTGCAACGTCAAACAGGTGAGCTCAAGCGAGCATGGCCGGTTTTTTGCCGTGTCCTTCCACTGCTTGAGTTTCACTGACTTGACTTCCCAGCTACACTCCAAACACCACTCTTCACCACCACAAAACAAATAACCACAGCCACCCGCTGACATGCACATGCCGTTCTACTCCCCTCACCCGCCATCCACCCATCCACTCACCATCCACCCATCCACCCACTCGCCATCCCACGCACCATCTACCCACTTACCATCCCACGCACCATCCACTTCAATCCATGCACGCCATGACAGGGAGTGTGCTGAGCTGACCGTGTGCGCCTCTGGTGAGGAGTATGAGACAGTTGCTGCCACCGCCACGAGTGACCGACAATGCCAGCCGCTCACGGAGTGCTCCGACATCCAATATGAGTCGCGCGCGCCAACGGCGACAACGGATCGCGGGTGCAGCGACCTCACCTTCTGCGCCACCGAAACGGAGGTGCAAACCACGGCCCCCACAGCCACCTCCGATCGCGAATGCGAGCCTATGGAGGACTGCGTTCGGGGCAACACATATCGTGGCGAGGAGCGCCCGGATGATTGGGGCGAGGACGACCCAACCGTCGACGCCAACGAGCCGGAGCCGCTGCTGTTCACCACCACGGGTTGCCGTCGCATCACAAAGTGCTCTGGGAACGAGTACCAGTCCCGGCCGCACACCGTGTACCACACTGCCATCTGCATGCGCGTCTCCAGGTGCGAGAGCGATGAGTACGAGCCCAGGCCAGCAACGGACACCACAGACACGCTGTGCCTCAAGTACTCGCAGTGTGTGGACGGTGTGGAATATGAGGCAAGGCCGCCCACGGACACCACAGACAGGGACTGCCAGCCCATTGCTGATGAGTGCAGTGCCGAAGATGGCTTTTATGAGGCAGCGGCGCCAACAGCCACCTCAAACCGCGTCTGCAAACGTAAGCAGAACGAGGCATCTCGTCTGGTGTGTGTGTGTGGGGGGGGTGTATGTGTATGTGTGTGTGTATATGTGTCTGTGTCTGTATGTGTGTGCGTTTGTCCGATCTGCTGTTTTCTACTTCGTATTTTTGCGAGCTCGTGCTCCACTTGCAAGCAAGGTCGCCATTTGAGGCATGCTAGGGGTGTTGGTGCTTAGTACCTCTCCCCCTCCCCCCCCCCCACATGTGCACGTCCATTCCTTCAAGCTGTCATTGCTCATCTCACTAACTCTTGCCATCGTGTCACCACAGCATTCATGCGCCGGCCAGAGTTTGCGCTTGGGACAGGCACGTCGCTGTCACCGTCCCTTTCCCTCCTCTTCAACAACGAATCACTCAGCAGCGCCATCGCCCCAGTTGCTGAGTCAGCAGATACCACCTCCTTCTCCGCTGTGGTTGCAGCGTCGTCCCCAGATGGCCTGGGCGTGAATGTGCGCGTCCGCAACCAGGGCTACCTCACAGCCTACGACACGTTCATGCTGCCGGATGAGTACGGGTACCAGGAAGACAGCAACGTGCCTTTAGCCGTGGCGTGGAGCGCGGCGAATGGCCAGGCGACCATCTCCCTGACGCAATCCATCGCTGACGTCACACCGCCACGCCGTGCATATGTTCTCGTCTTGGAGGCGGCGGACACGCGCAGCACGTGCATTCTGAGCAGCACCAGCACCTTGCCCGGCCCATGCACGGCCGCGTTTCTGCTTGTGGTCCCTGTCATCGCCACTGTGGATTGCGCAGGTGCCCAGCACTATGTGCTCACGGGCAACGCCACCACTGCGGATATGGAGTGGACGCCACTGCGGCAGCGCTTGCTGCGCGCATCGCCACTCGTGCACTACTCACACACGCTCGAGACGGCGCCAGGGAACACCTTTGATAACAACACGTACTCGCAGGGCGTGTTCGTTCACTCCTTCTACAGCAGCGCCACGGTGCAGCCGCCATCATGGTGCCTGGTGCAGGTCACCGTACTCCCTGGCGTCACTCTCACCATCAGCTCTGTTGGCCATGTGTTCCTTCCGCAAAGCAGCAGCGGTGGAAGCCGTGCCATCTCCCTCGACTACATCATCGACCAGCAGCAAATCAGCGGTACGGTTGTTGATTTGTGTTTGCGTGTGTGTGTGTGTGTGTGTGTGTGTGTCTGTATGTTGATTTGTGGTTGCGTGTTTGTCTGTTGTGTTTGCGTGTTTGTCTGTTGTGTGTGCGTGTCTGCTTGTGTTTGTTTGTGTGTATTTGGTTGCTCGTGTGTATCCATTGTGTTGTCGGCTTGCTTCCGTGTTGTGTCTTGCATTTATCTTCGTTGACACCACCGTTCACACACACACACACACACACACACACACGCACACACCCTCCCTCTCTCGCACACACACACACACACACACACATGCAGGAGCCGGATTGCAAGTGAATGCGCTGTATGGCGCAATTCTTCCCCTGCACGGGTTTGGGCTCGTGTTGCAGCCACCCGATGGCGAGTCGTTTTCGTTTCAGGTCGCTGATGCAAACACCGAGGCCTCCGTGTCCACGCGTTTGGAGTTTTGCCAGCAGCCTGGCTTGACCGAGTGGGAGGATGACGCAATACAGGTGGAGGCGCAGACCGTCTTCCACTACACGGGGAATGGACAGCGGCAAGTGGACCTCAGCGCCAGCTCTGCGCTCATTGCGGCAGACGGACAATGCTTCCGCTTCACGCTGACCACCGCAGCGCTGACACAGCCATTCCAGCTGGAACGGCTTGTCTTTGTTCTCAACGGCGCCGCAGCAAGCAGCGACACGCCCATCAGCCGGGACGTTTACTCCACCTTCTACAGCAAGTCGCAGAACTTTGTTGTGTACAAGACAGACCACTCTTCAAGCGTCAGCACGACTGACCCCGGCGCCGCTGTCACCATTCAGGACATCACGCCACCGACGTTTGAGAACTGCCCCACTGTCGTCTCTGTGCGCGCAGACCGCAACAGCGTGAGTCTCCCTGACTGGCACCAGCTCGCTTGCTTGTCTTGTGTTTGCGTGTGTGTGTTGTGTGTGTGTGTGTGTGTGTTTGTGTGTTGTGTTTTGTGTGTGTGTGTTGTGTGTGTTTTGTGTGTGTGTGTGTGTGTGTGTGCATGTATGTGTGTGTGTTTCTTTGTTTCTTCGTTTCTTTGCACACCTTGTGTTGGGTCCCTGTTGAATTCAGCCCTGCACCATGACTGCGCGTCTGATATGTGCCCTCCTCCAACTATTCAACTCCCTCAACCTCCCCCTCCCCCTCTCCCTTCCTCTCTCTCTCTTTCCTCTGACTCCCCCAACCCCATCCCAACCCCAACCCCAACCCCGAACATGTGCAGGCGACTGCTGTGGCGACGTGGACGGAGCCGACAGCTGTCGACAACGTCGAAGTGCGCAGCGTTGAGCGCTCACACGCCCCCGGGGCTGAATTCAGTGTCACAGACTCGCCCCACGAGGTCACGTACACGGCACAGGACACAAGCGGCAACACGGGCACATGCACGTTCCTGGTGCTTGTAGACTACGACCATGTGACACTGCCGTCTGCCTTCAACGTCCGCTTCACAGACATCACCAGCGTGGAGGTTGGCTCCGTGCCGCTTGGCGGCAACGTCGTGCAGAGCGTGTACGCGGACCAGATTCTGGCGCCGGGCAACCGCGCACCGCTTTTCTATGCCGTCACGGGCGTTGTTCCGGAGACCAACACGCTCAGTGTGGGCCTGCAGCCGTCCACTGGCGATGCGTTTGCGCTTGTGTTTGGCGAGCAGGAGGTTCGCGCACGCTTCGTCATTGACATCACGCTCGTGCGGCTCACGGACGAGCAGGCAGCCGATGTCCCGCCCTCCACAACAACCACGCCAACCACGACGACGACGACGACCACTACGATCACCACCACCACTGGCACGTTCACTGGCACAACTCGACCGGGCTCGTCACCAACAACACCCTCCGATGCCCCACCCACCACTGCAAGCACGGGCACGACGACGACGACCGAGGCGCCGCTGGTGCTGCAGGATGCGCTGCCCTTTGAGCAGAACGAGAACGAGTTTGTGTCCGCCGCCCTCAGGCTGGGAAACCTCTCCCTGCCCAACTCCCTCCAGTTTGGAGACGGAGGACCGAACAACATCATGCAATCAGACGGAGCAGGCAACAGCGGCCCCTTCTTCCGGAACGAGAATGGTGACGTCATCCTCGAGTTCCAGTCATCCGCCGACAGCACCATCAAGTTCAACACGACGACCAACGACGTGGAGACGATTCGGGTTCGAGGAACGTCCCGCATCTTCACGCAGGAGCTGTCCTTTTCCGGCGTCAACGTCCTGCTCCAGTACCCGGGCCTGTTCTCCCTGGCCGACGCGCGCCGCCGCAGGAGGAGCCACGGAGGTTCACACGAGCCCGCCACGTTTGGGCTCACCCCAGACAGCAGCGTGCGCGTGGAGTACCTGTTCCTGTCCTCGGACGAGCAGGGCTCCACCCCGACGCGAACAGACGGCTTTCTCACCTTTGAGGACGACGTGCCGCCAACATACGGCAACACGTGCCCAGACAACATCACCGCCATTGCACCGGCCGACGCCAGCGCGGCCAACGTGACGTGGGTTGAGCCGCATGCAACAGACAACCGCCGCGTCGTGTCAGACGTTGGCTCGCTCACACCGCCCGTGCTCCTGCCCATCAAGACCCCAAGCGACCCCGACTACCAGGTCGTGTACGAGGCCATGGATCAGTTTGGCGCCACGGCAACGTGCGTGTTCTATGTCCGCGTGGTGGACGCTGATGCACCGGTTGTCACGTGCCCGCCTTCGCAGCTGCTCAACGCCGACGAGACGACGGGTGTGGGTGTGCTGGATGCATCGCTCGTGGAGCCACCACGCGTGGTTGACCGCGGTCGTGTGTACACGCCACCCGACAACCTGCAGGCGACGTTCGACGTGGAGACTGCACAGAGCACCTATGCAATTGGCGTAACGCAGGCGCAGATTAGTGTTACGGATGACTGGGGCAACGCGGGCACGTGCACGTTTGAGGTGGAAGTGGTTGACGTCACGCCGCCAAGCGCCCTCAACTGCCCGAGCGTGGGTCCCAGCGCGGTGTCGGACGACGGGTCAGATGTGGCAGCGTCGTGGACAGACGTCACGTGGACCGACAACGACGGCCCACCAACTGTCGAGGCGTCACACACGACGGGCGACCTGTTCCCAATTGGCGTGACGCTGGTGAGCATCGTGGCCACGGACGCCTCTGGCAACAGCGCCGCGTGCGAGTTCAACGTGACGGTCGTGGCAGCAGGCAGCGGCACGGGCACAGGCGGCTCTGCGGCAGGATCGCTGTCCACGGCTGGCATTGTTGGCGTTGCCGTTGCGGTTGTGGCCATCATCATTGTCCTGTGCGTTGTGATTGCCGTGCTCATTGTGCGCGCCCGAAAGCGCCCACACGACTTTGAGGCGATCCTGGAGGAGATGCGTCAGCTCAAGGCGCTCACCGGGTTTGACACGGCCAAGGGGGAGGGGCCCGTGAAACCGCGCGAACTCAAACGCTCCTTCGTCAAGATCCTCGATGTCCTGGGCAAGGTGCGTTTGTTTGTTGGGGGGTGTGGGTTGCATGTGCGTGTGTATGTGTGCGTTTGCATGTGCGTTTGCATGTGCTTTTGTGTGTGCGAGTTTGTCGAGTTTCGTTTGGCTGCATGTCTTGTGTGGCGATGGCTCTCTCCATCATGACATGACATCACGACTGATGTTTGTGACCCCGCGCAACACCTTGCTTGCAGGGCAACTTTGGCAACGTGTGCAAAGGCCTACTCAACGAACCAGGGCGACCACAGTACGTGCTGTGTCACTATTTTGGGATAGAAGAACGGGCACAGGGAGGGTGGATTGAACATGTACCCGTGCAATTGTTCTGTGTATGTTGCGAACACAAAACACATCAGTACGTGTGGCTGATGATGCATCGCAAACACACGCACACACGCACACATGCACACACGCTCACACACTCTCTCAATGTGCCTCCGCTAGATACATTGTGGCCATCAAAACACTGCACGAGGAAGCTGGCGATATTGGCCGACGCGAACTCCTTCAAGAGAGCGCCGTCATGGTTGGTTTTGCATGTTTGCTCTTGTCGTGAGCAGCTGCTTGTGTGGTGGCTCGTTCATCCTGTCAGACTTGTGTGTGTACAAGCCGCACACGTCGTAATGGTGGGAAAATCCCCCCGCACCGTTGAACATTCAACACGCCCATATGCACAGCACACGCCCACATGCGCACACACCATGCACACACATACATGCCTGCTTTCTCACCCGCCCTCACCCACACATGCTCACACAACAACAGGCGCAATTCCAGCACCCGAACGTTGTTGGTCTGGTTGGAGTTGTGACTGCTGGTGAACCGATGCTGATGGTCATTGAGTTTTGCGAACTCGGCGCGCTGAACGCGTATCTCGCTGCCAACGACCCACCACTGGACATGAAATACCGGTTTGCCGTCGATTGCGCAGCCGGCCTCGCCTACCTCGCCTCACGCGGGTGAGTGATTGCCATTTGTTTGTTTCGGTTTGCTTTGGTTTGTGTGCTTGTAAACTGGTTGCGTGTGCGACTCTGTGTGTCTACATGGGGCTATGACTCACGTGTGAGTGCGTGATGCACTTTGAACTCGTTTCCTTTGTGGCAGGTTTGTGCATCGTGATATTGCGGCTCGAAATGTGCTGCTGAGCTCTGAGGAGCGCTGTAAGATCAGCGATTTCGGTCTCTCCCGCGAAACAGGTGCGGTACATTCTGTGTGTATGTGCGTGTGTGTGTGTGCGTGTGTGTGTGTGTGTGTGTGTGTGTGTGTGTGTGTGTGTGTGTGTGCATTTGTGTTGTTTCATGTGTTGTTTCATCTGTCTCTCTGTCTTTCTGTCCTTCTAGTCTTGATTTTTTATTTTTCTCACATCAGCCATCCTTTTCTCTCGTTTCAGAGCACTCCGACTATTACCACTCGCGCAAAGGTGGCGCCCTTCCAGTGCGATGGTGAGTGATCACGACATGCTTGCTTCCGTGCACGCGTGCAAAAGGGCAGGTTGCGAAACCACTGAACGCATTGGCGCTTTTTCGCCCAACCATATTCTGGCTTTCCAACCACCTTCCGTACCTCACTCACAAGTACACAAACACGCAACCGCAAACACACACGCGCATCCGCCTACGTGCAGGACGGCGCCAGAGGCGTTGGAGAATCAGAAGTTTTCCAGCGCTTCGGACTGCTGGAGTTTCGGCATTCTCATCTACGAGGTACGTTCTCACATGTTCACGTGCACTCCACCTTGTGTGTGTGTGTGTGGGGTGTGTGTGTGTGTGTGTGTGTGTGGGGAGGGGTGTGGGTGTGGGTGTGGTTGTTGGTCTTGTCGCACCTGCGTGTATGCGATATTTCCTGTTTCATTTCCACGCTGACTTCGATTTGTTTCCTGGTATGTGCAAATACCAGATCTGGACACGTGCCGCTCGCCCGTACGAGGGATGGAGCAACCAGAAGGTGTGTGTGTGTGTGTGTGTGTGTCTTGTGCGTGCGTGTGTGTCTTGTGCGTGCGTGTGTGTGTGTGTGTGTGTGTGTGTGTGTGTGTGTGTGTGTGTGTGTGTGTGTGTGTAATCAGTTTGTTTCGCATTGTGCTCCCTCAGCCACCAAGCATTTGGCTCTTTCCCAGTTCTCACACACACTTGCGCTTGCCGTTGTTGCGATGCATGTTCAGGTGTGGGCCAAGGTGACGTGCGGGTATCGACTCCCGCGTCCGCGCAAGTGCCCCAAGGAGGTGTACCACCTCATGCTTCTGTGCTGGCACCATGATCCCTTCCAGCGGTAAAGCAACTGTGGCCGTCTGGGGACGTTGTTGTTGTTGTTGTTATTGTTGTTGTTGTTGTTGTTGTTGTTGTTGTTGTTGTTGTTGTTGTTGTTGTTGTTGTTGTTGTTGTTGTTGTTGTTGTTGTTGTTGTTGTTGTTGTTGTTGTTGCTGTGATTGCGGCAGGGTTGGGCGAGATGTGTGAGCGTTCAAGGCGCCCAGTGGTACAACTGCTTTCCAATGCACGTCAACGTAGGCTTTGCGGAGTCTCCAAGCCCACCAACACACATACACATGCACTCACTCATGCATGATTTGTGCATCCACACAACATGCAGCCCCCAGTTTGATGAGCTTCGGCGCGCGTTTGAATCGCTGCGGTCCGGCGTTCCAAACGGCAGTCCTCTCCTGGAGGAGCCCTTGTCGCCAGTCCCAAACCTGGTCCCGAACGAACGCGCGGAGACGCGTTTTAATTCGTACCAGACGGAGGGCAGGTCCGTCTCGCCTGCCGGCACAGCGGCAACAGCGAGCACCAACATGACGGGCACCACGTCTGCAAGCAGCAACGGAACCAAGTACGTTGCGCTGGAGAAACAGCAGCGAAGCGACATCCTGTACCCGACACAGCCAGACGGCAACCCGCCGTCCACGCGCACACCCACCACGCTGGACAACAGCACGGACGGCACCACCGTGTGTGTGCTGGACTCGTCGTCACCCGTGCCCTTCAAGCAGTACACGCCTGCGGGCCAACCGCGCCGCTCTGTCGTGTATGACCTCACGCGCAGCGAAGATGGCGACTCCGTGGTGGATGTGGACGTGCACGGGCACCCGCCTGTCATCGACCCTGGTCCCGCCCGCCCCAGCACGGAGGGGCTGTATGACGCCGGCGAAAACACGGCCAACCCATACGCACCAGATGACTATGAGAAGGGCGGCAGGCGCCCAACTGATTACACACGAGCGACGCCACAACTTGGGGATGACGACGACGATGGTGACGATGGTCACGAGTACGCAGGGGAGATGCTGAGTGGGAACGCGCAATCAGGCCGGGCGAGCCCACGCCTGCCCGTGAGCGAGTATGAGGACGCAATGGCAGCACACACGCTGCAGGACTATGAAGACACAGCCATGCCTGCCGATATGATGGCTGAGACGGTGTTTGCCGAGAACGGCACCAGCGGCACGCATTATGGCTCACAGCAGCAGCAGCAGCAGCAGCAGCAGCAACAACAGGGAGGGAGGATGCGAGGCATTGGTGGTGGTGGCCAGGAGGTGAGCTTCATTCGGCGGCGCCACGACACGTACGACGGCACGGAGGTGTACAACGTGGCCGAGCACGACTACGCAGAGCCAGACGAGGATGCCAAGGAAGGATACCTGTCTGTGGAAGGCGATGACAGCAGCACACGCGCGGTGACGAGGCGCAACACGGATATGAGTGAACCGCTGACGCCTGTGCTGCCGCCGCAGCTGCCGCCTGTGCACGAGTACGAAGACGCAGAGCTCGTGCAGGGCAACGGTGAGTACGAGAACACAAACGTGTTGGGCATGCATGATGGCGACGCAACGCAGCAGCGACAGCAGTCCAACTACGAAGACGCCAAGATGAAGCGGAGATCAGCGGACTTCCACGAATATCTTCAGCCCAACACGCCCGGGTGAATGAAAAGGAAGATGGGAAGGGGGGGGGGGGTGATGAGTGTGGGATAACAAAGACAATGGGAGATTGTGTGATTGCGAGTGCGTGCCTGTACATGTGCGTGCTCGTGGGTGTTTAATTGTGAGCGTGTGTTTTTTTGTGTGTGCTCAGTTTACGATTGGCACCGCTGTGTCTTGTGTCAAGTTGAAACTTGCTGTTTGTGCGTGGTAGAAAGTTATGTTGCTTGGAGACGAGGGCGGGCGACTGCTGCTGTGTTGTATTCGACTGGTGATGACAGAGCAACAGCGGAAACAAGTAAACGAACCACACAACACTGCACGACACTATCAAGGCAAGGCACGCGGAAGGAGAGCAAGGAAAACAAGCAGCGACCCCCAAAAACAAGAGAGCGCGTGTGTTTTCGTTCAAGCAGACACATTGCTTGCATCAGGGCCTGAGGAGAACCTGCAGTTTCTGCGCGAGCATCATGTTTCCGGACAGCTTGAGTTTTCCGGACATGAACGCCTTCATCGGATCCAACTTGCCATCGACAAGCTGTGCAAAGTCGTCATCACTCAGCGTGAGCGTGCAGCCAGGGCGCCCGCTCTTCGGTTGTCCGCGGTAGATTTCGCCACTTCCCTTCTTCAGGTCGACTGTCCACACGTGCGTGTTCTTGGCTGCGTCCTTGATGTTCCACTGGAAGATTGCGTTTGCCTTCTTCACCATCTTCTCACTCAGCGTCGCTTTCATCCGCTCAAAGATGGCCGTGGCCTGCATCACGCAAGTGTTTGTTTGTTTGTTTGTTTGTGTGTGTGTGTGTGCGCGCGCGCGTTTGTATGTTGTGTGTGTGTGTGTGCGTGTGTGCGCGCGCGCGTTTGTATGTTGTGTGTGTGTGTGCGTTTGTATGTTGTGTGTATGTGTGTGTCAGTAGGTTGCATGCGTCATCGCGTCTGTCACAATGCGGAACAGCCATGATGCCAACCCATGCAAATCACAACAGCGAGCCACTCCTCCAAGACCACCCACCGCACCTTCAGTGCCGGCCCCTGCTGCTGCTGCTGTTCAGTTTTGTTTGCGGTTCCTGCTGCTGGGGGTGCCGCTGCATCGGCGTCGCTGGCGAATACCACGCGGCCCGCCGTGAGAACAACAGCATCGCGCTCGACGACCTTCACCTGGAACACCGCCGTGCTGCCGTCTTGCCACACGGATGTCTGGAGCGTTTCGCCGGGGAAAACCGGACTGGCGAAGCGCGCTTGCAGTGATGCAATGGTGGGATGGTTGCCTGTGTCATCATCGCCATTGGCAGTTTTGGAGCAGGCCTGCAACACGTGGCGGATGCCATATCCCATTGTGCACAGGCCGTGCAGGATAGGCTGCTTGAAGTTTGCGACTTTGGCCATGTTTAGGTCAATGTGCAATGGGTTGAAGTCGCCAGAGAGGCGATACACGGCAGCCTGTGTCTCGCAGTGTGTGTGTGTGTATGGGGGCGTGGGTGAGTGTTAGTGTGTGGGTGTGCAAATGTAAGTGTAAGTGTGTGTGTGTGAGTGCATAAATGTGTGTGTGTGTGTGCAAGTGTGAGTGTGAGTGTGGGTGTGCAAGTGTGGGTGTGAGTCAGCAAACGTGTGAGTGCATCAATGTGTGTATGTGTGCTGTTGGTTTTCAGAAAAGGTACAGGGTAAACATTCGCATGCAAACAACAGAGCAATGGTCACCTGGTTCGTGTGCGTCTTCTCCTCGATGACATTCGTCGGCGGGGACGACGGAACACTCACACGCGGCTGCACCAGCAATGCACACACCAAGGGCACACGGTCATTAGCATGTCCCATGTCTGCGTGCGTGCACGTGTGTCTGTGTGTCTGTGTGTTTGTCTGTGTCTGTGTGTTTGTCTGTGTGTCTGTGTCTGTGTCTGTGTCTGTGTGTTTGTCTGTGTCTGTGTGTTTGTCTGTGTCTGTGTGTTTGTCTGTGTGTCTGTGTCTGTGTCTGTGTCTGTGTGTTTGTCTGTGTCTGTGTGTTTGTCTGTGTGTCTGTGGAAAATAAACTCCCAAGCTAGGAGCGGCTCGCAAGTGATTGCAGATGGCACCGTACCAGGGCGTGCTTCGTGGTTGTTGGGCCGCCAAATCCGCCCTTGCCACGAACAAACAGCGAAAACGTGTTGGTGCACACGAGAGCGCCACTCGTGTCGCGCGTATCCACTAAGGAAAGGAAGACAAGGAGGCAACGTGGAACGTGCGTTCACAAGTGAGGAGCCGTGGGTGTGAGGATGAAGCACAACTACGACTCTAACGATTAGGGTTGTTGCGCTGTCTGTGTTCTTTGTGTTCTTTGTGTCTTCCTCACCATGGCCACTCCCACCACCACCACTGTCATCATCATCATCATCATCATCATCATCATCATCATCATCATCATCATCATCATCATCATCATCATCATCATCATCATCGTTGTTATTACCTTGGAGGAGCGCCAGGGCGCCGGATCCTTTGTCCACAATGTCGAGCATACGCGCAGTGGACGTCACAGTGCCTTCGCAAGGTGATAAGTGTGCGTTTGTGGGGAGGGGGAGTGTGCGGAGGCAGTGGAAGCTTGTGAGCCACAGTTCGACGGTTCGCACGTGTCAGACACGCACTCAACCTCACTATCACACACACTCGCTCTCTCTCTCTCTCTCTCTCTCTATCACACACACTCGCTCTCTCTCTCTCTCTCTCTCTCTCTCTCTCTGACACACACACACACACACAATCACAATCACAATCACACACACACTCTCTCTTAAACCCTCACGGTGCATGTGAGCAACATCTCATGCGCGCACGGCAGGAAGCACCTTCTGTTGGCATTGGCTTGTGGAACGCAATGTGCTGCTCGCCATGTAGCAGCATCATCGGGTGGAAGCGAAACCCGTCCATATCCAAGATCGTCGATCCCATTGACAGCTGACGCACGCGCGCCATTACACGCCATGACGATGATGATGATGATGATGATGATGATGATGATGATGATGATGAGGGTGATGATGATGAGGGTGATGATGATGAGGGTGATGATGATGAGGGTGATGATGATGAGGGTGATGAGGGTGATGATGATGAGGGTGATGATGATGAGCGCACCACACATAGACAGACAGACAGAAGTCATGTGTTCCCCTCTACTCACATATCCTACTTCATGTCGTGTGTGTGTGTATGTGTGTGCGTGTGTACCTGGGCCGGGATGACAGCGAATGTTGGGAACGCAGCAAAGTTGTCGGCGCTCTCATATGTGTAGGCGAGATCAGACGGACGTTCAACAGGATCGCACCCGACTGAAGTGGTGGCGGTGTCGTGTGTGTGTGTGTGTGTGTGTGTGTGTGTGTGTGTGTGTGTGTGTGTGTGTGTGTGTGTGTGTGTGTGTGTGTGTGTGTGTGTGTGGTGAGGGGGGCAAGCAAAGGGAGGAGGGCCATGGAGGAGGGTAGTATTAGCGGGAGGTCGGCTCGTGTCGGAAGGTTTGGAGCGTGGGGTTGTACGCGTGGGCGTTGGTGAGGTTGCAGTCTGCGTCGCAGGGGACTGGGGCGTCTGATCGGATGTCGCAGTCATATCATACATCATACACAAAAAAGAGAACGCTCCAGACGCGCATAATATGGAGTGTGGAAGAAGAGTGCGGGTAGGAGCATGTCTACCGTTGTTAGATTAAGCTGATCTAGGATATAGTGACTGACGTGCTGAAGAGGCTCTGGTCGTTATACTTGCAGAAACTGCAGATTAGCTGCATGCAACGAGCGAACAACTGCACAAAAAATTGAAGTCTTTCCGACATCGGGGTCTGCAGTGCATTGTTCATTTTACGATCGTTGCCGATCATGAGCAATGCTGATACGTCGAACAGTCAGAGCTTTGCATACAATCTAGAGAAGGCGCGGGAGGGGCCGGCGATTGTTAGTAGG